CTACAAGAGACCCAACTCAGGATAAAAGACCTGCACAGGCTGAAAGTAAAGGGCTGGAAACAAATTTTCCAAGCAAATGGACAGAAAAAAAAATGGGGTAGCAATACTCATACCAAACAAAATAGACTTCCAAAAAAGGACATAAAGAAAGACCCAGAAGGTCCTTTCATAACACTCAAGGGAAGAATCCACCAGGAAGACATAAACATGTAAATATATATGCACCCAACATAAGATAACCAAAATACATACAGAAAATCATGGAGGACTTCAATAAAGATATTGAGAACAACACAATTGTAGTGGGGAATTTTAACACCCCACTGTCAAAAATGGACAGATCTACCAAACAAAATATCAACAAAGATATTGTGGCATTGAACAATGCCCTAGATGAAATGGACTTCACTGATACATATAGAACCCTTCATCTCAAAGAAGCTAAATATACATACATTTCAAATGCACATGGAACATTTTCAAAGATAGACCACATGATAGGACTCAAAACAAGCTTCAAAAAAAAAACAAGAAAATTGAAATCATACCAAGCATTTTCTTGGATCACAAGGTACTAAAACTAGAAAACAACCCCAAGGAAAAAAAAACCAAAACACTCAAAATCAGGGAGATTAAATAGCATGCTATTAAACAATGAATGGGTCAAGATTGAAATTAGGGAATAAATGACAAAGTTTCTGGAAACAAATGAAAAAAAACTCACAACAACCCAAAACTTATGGGACACAGCAAAGGCAGTCCTGAGAGGGAAGTTCATAGTGACACAGGCCTACCTAAAAAAACATAGAAATATTTCAGACAAAGAACCTAACCCTATGTCTACAAGAACTCAAGGAACAACAAAAAAGACAGCCCAGAGCAAGTAGAAGGAAGGAAATAACTAAGATCAGAGCAGAATTAAATGACATAGAGACTAAAAGCACAATTATAAGAATCAATGAATCCAGGAGCTGGTTCTTTGAAAAGATAAACAAAATTGACAAGCATTTAAGCAGGCTCATCAAGAAAAAAAAGAGAGAAGACCCAAATGAACACAATCAGAAATGAAAAAGGAGAGATTATAACTGATACCACAGAAATACAAAAGATTGTAAGAAATTACTATGAAGAATTATATGCCAAGAAATTTGAAAATCTAGGTGAAATGGACAAATATGTAGAAAAATATGATCTCCCAAACTCAATAAAGAAGAAGCAGAGGGCCTAAACAAACCAATAACAACAAGTGAAATTGAAGCAGTAATAAAAAACACCCAACACACAAAAGCCCTGGACCAAATGGTTTCACAGGAAAATTCTACAAAGCATTTAAGGAAGAGCTAATCCCTATCCTTTACAGACTATTCCAAAAAATTGAGAATAACGAAGACTCCCAAACTCTTCTTTATGAAGGCAGTATCATGCTAATTCCAAAACCAAATAAAGACAGAACAAAGAAAGAAAACTTCAGGCCAATATCACTGATGAGCATGGACGCTAAAATCATAAACAAAATATTGTCAAACCACATCCAACAATACATTTAAAAGATCGTACACAATGACCAAGGGGGATTCAATTCAGGGATGCAAGGATGGTACAATATTTGCAAATCGATAAAGGTAATAAATCGCATAAACAAAAGCAAAGACAAAAATCACATGATCATATTGATAGATGCAGAAGAAGCATTTGATAAGGTACAGCACCCATTTATGATAAAAACATTCAGCAAAGTGGGAATAGAGGGAGCATTCCTCAACATAATAAAGGCCATATATGAGAGACTTACACCCAACATCATACTCAATGGCCAAATGTAAAATCTTTTCCACTAAGATCAGAAACAAGACAAGGTTTTCCAATTTCACCACTTCTATTCAATATAGTATTGGAAGTTTTATCCACAGCAATCAGACAAGAAAAGAAAATTAAAGGCATACAAATCGGAAAAGATGAAACAAAACTGTCATTGTTTGCAGATGACATGATGGTGTACATAGAAAATCCTATAGACTCCACCGAAAAATTACTTGACTTAATAAATGAATTTGGCAAAACAGGGGAATACAAGGTCAATGTCCAGAAATCAGAGGCATTTTTGTATACCAACAATGAAACAGCAGAAGCAGAAATCAAGAAAAAAAAATCCCATTCAGTATAGCAAAAAGAAAAATAAAATACCTAGGAATAAACCTAACCAAGGAGATAAAAAAACTGTATGCAGAAAACTACACAACACTGAAGAAAGAAATCAAGGAAGACAGAAACAAATGGAAACAGACACCGTGTTCATGGATTGGAAGAATTAACATCCTCAGAATGTCCATACTACCCAAAGTAATTTACAGATTCAATGCAATACTTATTAAAGTTACACTGGCATATTTCACTGACATAGAATAAACACTTCAAAAATTTATATGGAACCATAAACCACCTAAAAGAGCTGCTACAATTTTGAGAAAGAAGAGCAAAGTAGGAGGGATCTCAATACTTGATAATAAACTGTATTACAAGGCCACTGTCATCAAAACAGCCTGGTACTGGAATAAAAACAGACAGATAGATAAATGGAACAGAACAGAGAGCCCAGAAATAGACCCAAGTCACTACAGTCGATTAATATTTGACAAAGGGGGCAGCAAAATAAAATGGAGTAAAAATAGCCTCTTCAACAAATGATGTTGTGAGAACTGGACAACTACATGCAAAAAAAAAAAAAAAGAAACTCAAGCACCAACTTACACCATACACAAAAGTAAATTCAAGGTGGATAAAAGATTTAAATATAAGCCACAACAACGTTAAGGTCCTAGAGGAGAACATATGCAGGAAAATCTCAGATATTTCATGCAGCAGTATTTTTACTGATATGTCCCCTAGAGCAAGGGACATAAAGGTAAGAATAAACAAATGGGATCTCATCAAAATAAAAAGCTTCTGCACAGCTAAAGAAAACAGTATGAAAATAAAAAGAGAACCAACTGTATGGGAAAACATATTTTCCAATGATACCTCAGACAAGGGTTTAATCTCTAAAATATACAAAGAACTCACATAACTCCACTCTAAGAAGACAAGCAACCCAATTAAAAAATCGGCAAGGGACTTGAACAGACACTTCTCCAAGGAGGACATACGGAGGATCCAGAGACACATGAAAAGATGCTCAATATCGCTAGCTATCAGAGAGATGTAATTTAAAACTACAATGATATACCACATTACAATGGTCAGAATGGCCATCATAAACAAAGCAACAAATAACAAGTGTTGGAAAGGTTGTGGAGGAAAGGGGACCCTAGTGCACTGTTGGTGGGATTGCAGATTAGTACAACCACTATGGAAAACAGTATGGAATTTCTTCAGAAAACTAAAAATGGATCTGTCTTTTGACCCAGCCATTCCACTGCTAGGATTATATCCTAAGAACTCTGAGAAACCAATCCAAAAGACCCTATGCACCCCAATTTTCATAGCAGCCCAATTTACAATAGCCAAGTGTTGGAAGCAGCCTAGGTGCCCATCAGTAAATGAATAGATCAGAAAACTATGGTGCATTTACACAATGGAATTCTGTGCAGCAGTTAAGAAAGAAGGGGCTCCTACCCTTTAAGACTGCGTGGATGGAACTGGAAAGTATTATGCTAAGCGAAATAAGCCAGGTGGTGATAGACAAATACCATATGATCTCACCTTTAACAAGAACCTAAACAACAAAACAAACAAACAAGCAAAATATAACCAAAGACACTGAAATAGAGAATAGGCTGACAGTGTTCATAGGGGAGAGGGGAGGGAATTTCAGGGGAGAAGGGGAAGGGTTTATAGGAACAAGTATAAAGGACACATGGACAAAAATTGGGGGGGGATGGAAATGGGAGGGAGGTGGGGAGGGCTTGGTGGGTGGGCTGGGATGGGAGTAAAGAATAGAAAATTATACTTGAACAATAATTAAAATAAAATAAAATAAATTTTAATAAAGATCTACTGTAGTGATTTCTGAAAATTTCCACCTTTCTTATTTTTGGGTATAAGATCACCTTCACCTCACACATTTTCTGCTTGGTAGCCTATTTATCATTGGATGTGCTTATCCAAAATACTACTTCTCAGTATTCTTTAAAAAATCTTTCAAATTTCACACAAAAATGGGAGGATTGTGTGTCTTCCAACTTTGCATTTTACTCTGTCTCTTGACTTTAAAACAACATTGCCTATGCCCAGAGTCTCATTAAAAATCTTGCTAAACAGAGAGTTTTTTCAATTTTTACTTACACAATGTTTTTGAGTAATGGTCTCATATAGTCCCTGTAACATGTTTGGGGGTCACACTGTCCTCTCTATTCCCAATAACTCCAGAGTTCTCAGGCCCTGTCTCCGAAGGACTGACACACAAACTTTCATTTTCTTGACTCCTTTCCTTGGGAAAGGGTGTGTGTGTAAATGCATATTGTCAGCTAAAAACTCATCTCAAGTTCAGCCCAACCAACCCTGATATGCTTTTATTACTCTTATAGGTTATATACATATCATTTTATTGCATTTGGAAGATGATAGGGTAAAATAGAATTAATTGAATTTTTAATTTTATTGAGTACAGATGTAAATGTTTTCATTCATTCAAGAAATATTTATTGAGTACCTTCTCTGAGCCAGAACAGTTTTAAGAACTGGAAATAAAACAAACAGGCACAATCTAGTCTTACACAAACCTTATCTTTAGTAGTTAACCTCAATAATGATAATTCCAAGCCTTCTACATGAATATGCAGAGAAAGTATTCTTAACATAAAAAAAGAACTTTCATTTTCTGATATCATATTTTTATTCTTTCATGTAAGTCTTCTTTTATACTGTGAATAGCTTTCAACAAACATCAACTCTAAATTTTCTTCCCCAAAATGCAATTGAATACATGCCATTGCACAAATCTGTTCAATCCTTCAATATGCTATAACAATGTCCTACCTTTTCTGCTCTTGCTGTTCCTTCAGGTGTATCAGTTCCTATACCAGTGATTGGACTGAGAGATGAAGACAAAGTGTTCGTCCACAACACCACCTGTGTGCTGAATGACCCAAATTTTGTTCTTATTGGGTCTTTCATAGCTTTCTGCATACCGCTGACGATCATGGTGATTACCTACTGCATGACGATTTACGTTCTTCACAGACAAGCTCTAATGCTACTCCGTGGCCACACGGAGGAACTGCCAGGAATAAGCCTGGATTTCCTGAAGTGCTGCAAGATGAATATTATTGATGAAGATAACGCTGCAAACCCTAACCAAGATTTGAAAGTGCGTCAAAGAAAGAAGAAAGAAAAACGTCCTAAGGGGACTATGCAAGCTATCAACAATGAACGGAAAGCGTCTAAAGTCCTTGGCATTGTTTTCTTTGTGTTTCTGATCATGTGGTGTCCTTTTTTTATTACTAATATTCTGTCAGTCCTTTGTGAGAAGGACTGTAATCAAGAGCTCATGGAAAAGCTTCTGAATGTGTTTGTTTGGATTGGCTATATTTGTTCAGGAATTAATCCTCTGGTGTACACCCTGTTCAACAAAGTTTACCAAAGGGCTTTCGCCAACTATCTGCACTGCAATTATAAGGCGGAAAAAAAGCCTCCTCTCAGGCAAATCCCGAGAGTCTCCGCCACTGCTTTGTCTGGGAGAGAGCTCAATGTTAATATTTACCGGCATACCAATGAACCAGTGGTAAAGAAAGCTAATGGCAATGAGCCAGGGGTAGAGATTCAAGTTGAGAATTTGGAGCTACCAGTTAATTTCTCCAATGTGGTTAGTGAAAGGATTAGTAGTGTGTAAGAAAATGAAGCGCAGTCTTTTCCTACAGTAATTCTAGAAATGTATGAAAATGTTCCATAATTCTTCTGTCAGTCCTAACTAATGTAAATATTGCTGTCTGAAAATAATGTTTTTATATATAGCTTTGCAATCCTGTACTTTATAATCATGTATATGATAGTGAGATTTAGGGTTCTATATTTACTGTTTATAATAGATGGAGAGTAACTTGTTTTGATTCTTTGATGTGTAAAATGTTGATTGTTTTCTTTCCCTTCCTCCCTTCATCCCTTCCTCCTTTTCTCTCTCTTTCATCCCCCCTCTCTCTTTTTCACTCTTTTGTGAATAAGGAAATGTTCATCTCAGGTGGCATTTGCAGGAGACCAGAATGAAGCATGTGACAGTGGTTATATTTTAACTGCACCAAAAATTAAAAAATTAGTGTTATATTTTCAGGGTTAACAGTAAATATATACTTTAAATTCTTGCTGTGTTGTGCTCATCTACACACATAAAGACAGTGAGATAGTTTCTGCCTTCCTATACTCTATCACATCATTAGTGAGTCATAGGCAGAACTTCACTTTATTGTCACATATGGGACACAATTTGACATTGTCAGAGAGTTGTGTTGGTATTTTACTGCAGTGTCTGTCCCCAAACGTAGTGGTATTTTAACATAAGCAGCTGGTTAACCTAGACTACAGAAGTGGAAGGATGATAGTATATATATCCACCAATAACTTTTCACTTCTTAAGGATAATGTTCAAATTCTGATTATAATGACAAGCAAATTGAAATTAGTGTTTTCATTCTGGTCTGTACTAAATACCCAATCCATAATTAAACTTGGAAATGAGATCCCAGATTTTATTTCCCAATCCAGAATTAATATCAATTGGATTTTGGTCTCAGGATCTGGAAATTCGTGTGCTTTACACAAAGTGAAGTTAACATTTTGAGCCTTATTAAAATATTTTTAAAATTATGGTACCACTATCTATAGGACCTAATTTTGTTGTCCTTTTTTTTAGTAAAACTTGCATTTGAAGCATAGACAGTCAAAACCTTGAAAGTTTTACTTGATTAAGGACTACAGAATTAGGCCCTTAGAATGTAGAAAAAAAAAGTAATTAAAAAGAAAATTTTACTGAACTCTATGAATAAAAGAAATACAGAGTTTCCATTTGAGTTTTAAACAAAATTTTCCTCACTTTCAGTTCCTTCCAAACTCTATTCCAGGAAAAGGCTGCAGCTAATTTGTGAAAGTGGCAAGCTCTTCATTGTACTGCAATTATGTACCAGAAGTTTAAACCTTTGTCAAAATATAGTGTTGTATTACAATCAGTGTTGGCCATCGTTTTATTCATGGCCCTGCTGCTCTCTAAGAATTCAGTCCCAGTTTACTAGCTTGTTAACCATGAAAGGTTTTCAAACATTGCTAATGTCAGACCATCAAATCTATGCTGTGTACAGTGTACGAGTGTTTCCAGTAATTGTATTTCCAAATGTGTCCATCTCACACAATTGTGGATCAATTTCTAAAGAATTCATGATGCTATTTCTTATGCTTGACAGTTATTTACACACCTTAGAGTGTGCCTCTCAATATCCTGAAACTTACGGAGGCAGAATCTGAATTTCTAAAACCCCTGATCTGTGTCCTCAACACACAGCATAGGAAATCCAACAGTCTGCCACAAGGGGCAGTGGGAGAGCTTCTGTACTTGAGGAAACTCATACAGTCTCTACTTGCTTTGCAACACTGCCAAAATGTCAGTCAATTGCTTGAGCATGCCCAAATATAACATGAAAGTAAAGCCTACCTGCCTGTTAGCTTTGTCAAACTGCATGTTAAAACAACTATATGAAGTTGAATGAGATGATCTAATTCTTATTGAAACTAAAATGTCTGAAGAAACACAGTATGTATCGAGCATGAGTTCTGCATGTACGGATGGTGTTCTGCATGTATGTCATGCATATTGCATGAATCTACCAATCTGTATTAATGTAGGACAGCGTAGGTGATACCAAAAGGACTGAAGAAAATCCTCCAGCAGTTCTTAGAAAGACCACACATTCAGATCTGAAGTATTGTATTAGAGAAAACTGGAAACATCTGATTTCTTAACTATCAGGGCAAGCTCATAGCACATGTTTTACAGAGAAATAAAATATAAACCACAATTTTCAAAAGTGCTAGCAATAAATTGAATGGTAATAGCTTATAACACATTTGTTAATAATTCTTATTTCATCAAGTAGTAGTACTTAATGGTACCCACCACAATAATTATCCTCAAATTGTGTGCTATTTATAAGTTTTGTGCAGTTTGGTATGAAACAAATATATTCATTTGGATATAAATCTTGCAGCTCAATGTTAAATCTATAAACTTTTATAAATGTTTTAAAATTCCATGTTATAAATGCCATGTGGTGAATTTACTGTCAAACCTATCATTTTGATGAACTATTATATATGTACATCTGTTTAAGAAACATGCAACAGACTGCCTTATTTCATTTCCTGTGAAATTTCTCCTTTGTTATATGGTACTTTTTGAGAGTGGTGGCAAAGTATTGTCTTATTCCTGGTTCCTGTATGTTATTCACTCCAGGTTTTTGTAATACTTCCTATTAATTTATTAAATTTGTTAAATGTTGTCTGATATGTCATGTGTTTTTCCCCTGCATAGTTTGAGGGGAAAATATAACACTTCATTTTCTTTTAAAATAAGTTTATAAACACTACAAGAAATTGTCACTCTTCTGATTAATTCTGCATGTACTCAAAGGCTGCAACACCAGAGAAAAGACAATTAAGAGGTATAAACAACAAAAACAATATTAAGAGCATTAGTGGTTACTCATGAGCAGAATAACTGCACTTCCAAGTTATCCTACCTTACTTAACCTGAGCAGGAAACTGAGATGGCTCACTTGCTCTCCCTGCTGTAAGTATCATTACTATCTTATTCCTACCAGTCTCCAAGCTCCTCAAGAACAGAAAGGGCCATGTCTATCTTCTTGATAGTTTTAACCCAAATAATTAGTGGCCACTGTACATTCAACAGATATATATTGAGCATCAATATCTATGGACATTGTATTATCTTTCCCTGTTGCCAAAATGGGCCTTGCAATTCCCTGCTCTTCAATAATGCAGTGTCACATAATCACCTTAAATTATCTCTATCCCAAATGGCTTTGGATGTCTCTGCAATCATCTAGGTCACCATACTAAGCTGCTCTGTTCCTCTCTACCTGGAGCCAGGGATGACAAAATACATTATATTGTTCTTTCAATATTTATACCCTCTTGCTGCTAGGTGAACATACGCGATATTAGTATGACTTCAGTTTTCTGAGAAGAAAGCAGGAATACTTCATTTCTTTGCCACTATGAATAGGTTGATTTCTAGGAGTGGGTGAAAAGATAAAAGTTCAACTGACACTTGAAATAACAGGGTCACTGCTGCCCACAATCAGAAATATTGTGTACTATTGAAGCTACAGGCTACCCTTCCCCAACAGCTATGAAATGGAGAGAGGTTGAAATTTCTGAAAGTACAGAATTAGAGGGCTACAACTATTGGAAAGGAAGGTGGATGGAGGAAGACTGAAGTGACTGATTCCATAACATTGGAAGTTCTTTATGTTCTGAAGTGAGAAAAATGTTTCCTGTTATTAAGAACCAGGAAGTTTCTACCTACTGCAGAGACACATGGTTTCTCAGTTTACACTTAGGCCAATGCAATCTGCAAGGTTGTAGCTCACTTCTCTCTGCATCTTCTCACTAAACATATGTTAACATAACACCTACAGAGCAGAATATGTTAAAAAGATATTTTTATAGGCAATACCAACAGGAGTAGGTGGCATCTTAGTGGTTCTCAAATATTATGTGATGTATAGTATATTTATAAACATAAATAGCTCTAAAAGATAGGTTGGGTTTCTCAGGATATAAATTTTGTGATGGAAATGGAAATAAGCATGCAAGATATTTATTGGGAAGTGATCTTGGGATTCATATGCAAAGGGAAAGAGAAAGAAGTGGGATTGGGCAGAGGGAGAAGTTAGGCCGTGATGTAGTTATAAGGGCTTATTCAATGTGTATCTTGAGAGGAGAAATGTACCATTTCACTTCATTTTCTTTGAGAGTTAAATTGAATTCTGTAAAATAAATTCACAAAGCTAAACGCAACCACAAAGTATCACCCCTTCTGATTAATTCTGCATGAACTCAAAGACTACAACACCAGGAGAAAGACAATTAAGAGGTATGAATAACAAAATCAATATCACACTTAGTTGACTCCCATGAACTTTGAATCTAGAATTTCCCTTTAGAATTGTACCAAGTGGGAGCAGGGGGACCAGACATCTGTACTTCTACTTCCCCCAGGAGAAATGTATGACGTTATGCAAGTTCACTCTCTTCCAAAGAGGCAACTCCAGAAGAGGGCTTATAGCTGAAAGCTATCAGCCCACAATCAGCCTAGCCCCTGAGGAAAAAATCCTTTAGCTCCAAAGGCTGGATCTTGGCAGGAGAGCATGGCATCCATAACAAGCAGTATATTTATTGAGTAGGGAATATTCACCACCTAGTCTACCACCTTATGTAAATAACACAAAACAAACTGGCTGGCTGTCACACTAGACAAAATTAAAGGAAATAGAAGTGAAAGAAAATCCATGTTTTTATATGTGGTTCTCTGCTTATTAAAGGTATTCTCAATCAACAGTTTACTAGGATTCCTAGATTTCTGAATCCACCTGGATAGCTTAGGCTAAGCTGTAGTAAGAAACAATCCCAAAGTCTCAGTAGCTTAACAAAAACAAATGCACATTTTGTTGCCAGCAAACCTCTGCTCACCGTAGTTACTCTGGGAAAAAAATGGTGATAGAGGCTCCATCTCCACATATGCTTTCACGTAGCAGAGGGAAGGGAATTTAGTGAACATATTTCTCTCAGTAAATTTAACCCTACTGCTAATTTTCAGTTTAATAC